TATAGGGAATAAACTGTGAAAATGTGAGAAATATTGAAGGTATCTGAATGAATTTAGGTTTGAGTGTATAAAACTGCAAAAATAGCTAAATATTCAGTGGTCTATTAATGGTCTTGACCATTTTTATCACAAATCATTAGATATGAAAGTACCAAGAATTGCACAAATACTGTAAACAAAGTAACTGGCCTTCCCCAACTTGCAGACAGCTTTTTACCAGAAGAATATTCAGTGTTGTTCCACTCAATGTTAATGGCTTCAAGTAGTTGAAAAATGTCTCCCAGTTTGTTTAAGTTTAATGTCAGATTTTTTTGGCTTACTACTAATGTGAGCATTAAATGACTTTTCACAGGGAAGTAGATCACTTTTTTTAGACCAGCTAAAAAGGCTCGCCACACAATGACACCTCTTTCCTCTTGTGTTTCACCTCTCCAACTTTCATTGTGATTCAACGGTTTCATTGTGATTCATCACTCCACATTCAACTTCCCATATTCTGCCAAAAAACTTTATTCTGTCTTTGATGCAGTTGATTTTTAAGCAGTGCATTTGCTAAAATGTAGCTAATTTTCTGATCAATAATTTGCAATATATATATATATATATATATATATATACACACACACACACACATACACGTTTTTTGTTGGATGCCATTCATACTGAAACTAAATGAAAACATGCTGAGGATTGGTATGCAAACGGTAGCTCAGGTAGGTCAAAAACACAAGAGGAGAACACAACAGTATATGCATATATATATATATATATATATATATATATATACGTGTATATATAAATAAACATGAAGGTTTTGGATATTTAGAAGAGACAGAAGAGAGATACCTTACCATTTTGCTCTTGAGGTGAGTGAGTGAATGAAGATGTTGCTGTACTGAGCTGAAAACCACAGGAATGTGACTGTCACATGGAACACAGTAAACTACCTCCATCCTTCTCATGTAATCATCTTCTGTCACCCCTGTAAGATAATGAAGTTTGAATAAAGTGTTAATAATCTTTTTTGTAGTTAGCTAATAAAGCCTATTTTCATCAAGTGGGGGAAATACCTGTACAGTATGTGTTGCAATATATTTTGCAATACAATACAATGCATTTTCATATTATGCGTATTTATAACATTACGTCATACCTTCCATTATTTTCACCCACTCATCTTTGCTTCGTCCACAGGAAAACTTTAGTTTGTGTAGAGTAGAGACAGTTTTATGAAATTTGTGAACCATGCAATCCTGTGCAATATTAAAACAGGGTAAATGTACATCAACAGTTATAATACAAATCCATGCAAAAACCTAAAACAATTAAAAAAATATTTAAAATCTTACATGCAAAAAATTGATGACCTTGTCATCAAATTTGGCTTGCCGTCTTATATAGTCAAGAGTCTCTTTGTGATGCTGGCTTCCAAAGTGTTTCTCAATGTCTTTGTCTTCAAACGTGTGGAATTTACAAAAAGCACATGTAAAAGCCAACCTAAAAAAAAAAAAAAAAAAACACATTGTGAACACTAAGCTGACAAAAATTTACAACCAATGAATGTAGATGCAGGTTAAAAACAAGTCAAGTGAAATGTCAGTGTTCACCTGTGCTTATCTCCATATTTTTCATGATTCTTCTCTCGTCGCCTTCTGCGCTTCTCTCTGGTTCGAACTTTTTTACCAAGGTCTGCACGCAATATTAACCCATGCTTGCATTCAATTATAGTGTTAACAACAACTCCCCCCCCCCCATATAATAAACAATGAAAATATTAAAGCTGTTATTATACCATGCTCTCCAATCGTTTCCTTGCTATTGGAAGAAAAGCAACGGTCCTGTGGAAAATAAAAACTGTAGTATCACAGGACTGATTATATAAGGCAGCTTTGATTGTAGATTCTTACCTTTGAAATGTGTGGTCCTAAGAAAAGTAAACAAAGTAAAGCATCATTTGCATTTTTAGCATCAATGCAAAGCAGTATTTTTTGAAAATTACAGTAAAGAACATGCAACAATTTAGCAGTGGAAACTTTGTTTTGCCATTTTTTAAACCATGTTTGGTCTATCAAAGCAGCACATCACATACCCACAATGCTGCTGATGCTGGGACCTGCTTTGACTATCCTCTTTTTTTTAACCAACTTGCAAGGAGGCACTGGTTCCATCATCTTCCTCTTGGTCCCTCTAAACACTAGAGCAGGTGATGTAGAGTGGTATCTTTCTATGCAAATAGATGGGTTCTGACTTGAGCACTGCAGAAGAGAACATACACAATTCAACACTAAATGTCGTTGATTTTGTTCAAATGATAAACTAGACACAAGGCGTACCCTAACACCTTGTCCTTCAGCCTCAGGTACGACAGCGCCTCTCCCCCGGTAGGTTCTGTGCACGTATGGGTGCATGTCTCTGCCCCGTGAGCCAATCGGCGCTGGCTGGGAGTGTGAGGGGGAGAACAGGCTGGAGGAATCAGAGAGATTGGAAGTGGAGTATTGACTCTCTCTGCCGCTGTCTGAAAAGGGAGACCTGGACCTCTGGGAAGACATGGCATAGGGCATTTCCCAGTTTGACAAGAGGTCTGCAGCCCAGGTGGATGAACAGGAGTCAGTGTACCCTCCATTAGAATGGTCAAAAACACTATCTGCATCTTCAGTGCTCAAGGCCCTATGTTCAGAAGACTCACTGGCACCATATCTGTGAGAAAAAAAACAAAAACAAATGGTGGCACATTACAAATATATAAAATGTTTAAGTGAAATGTTCAACTTTAATTTTAGTATTTATTTTTAATTAAGTTTTTCAAGCCTTTGTGTTTATAATTATTAAGCTTTTTTTTTAAGATCTTTAACAGTTTATATAGGAAAGCAATTTCTATTGCCTGCTAATAAAAGCACAAGGAAGATCTTCTGACAGTTCTTACCTGTCAGAGCTATTGGTCTCTAAGGACTCAGAGGATGCAAACAATCCAAATAATGGCTGAGTGTAGCATTTCCCTGGACATTTGAAAAGTGAAAGTGATTATTCGAGAATGTACCTCATTCATAACAATAAACACAAGACAGCTGGAACATTTAGCAACATAAGAGTGAGAGATTTATGTAATTACCTGGATGTTCAGCCGAAGACGGGAACATTTCTTCCTTATCGTAAATCCTTTAAAACAGATTGTATTAAAGCCCTGCTTAAATATAGATTATTACCAGCAGCAGGACAGCACAGCATAGCATCAGCCTAAGCAGGGGAGTGTTGTTTTTAAATGAGCCATAACTAATGATAAAGCAGGGTAAACTTCCATAAGATTCAGATTTTGAGTGAGCCTTGTGTGAATTTTGCCCTTGTGTTTGCGTCCTCTGATCAAGATTTACTTGTCAGATCGACTGAAACTGGCCAGTACATTTTGTAGCCTACCATTACTTCTTTTTTTTTTTTTTTTTTTTGAACAGAATGTGTTTTGTGGTGAGTGTGAAATGTTATATTGTGTTTCTTTACCAACTCCAGGCATAGTCGATTTGAAACTTTTTGAATAATGGCTTCTTTCTCAAACATGTATGTAAACCAAAGGCATCACATTTAATAATTAAATACAAATACCTTAGTTAAAGTTCTAAATACATGTGCAAGTCACCATAAATACTGAGCCCGTTCCCAATTTAAAACGTACAAATCCTTTCGTTTCAATTAGGCTATTAATATTTTATTTTTAACGAAAGCAACGTTATTTTCAAATACACACTTACCACATAAACGAGGATCAATCAGTGTCCTACTCATAGGTCCTACTGCGCTAAATTAAAGCAGGTGTCACTGAAATCATTTCCCCCTGGAAACAAACTAAACAACAGTGTCAGGCAACTTTGAAACCGTTTTTTTTTTTTTTTCAACAACACTACTACTTCATAACCATTTCAAGTTGTCTTCCTCTAGAGGGCGCTTGTCGTTCACAAACAGATTTGAGACTGCCTCGTTCACGTTTTGTAAAACATATTATAGCCCTACTTATTTTAATACTCTAAATGTACGGATTGATACATAATTGGAATATAATAAAGGTAAAATTGAATTTATAAGTGTAAAACTGCCTAGAAAATCTTTTTCAGTAGACATTCTCTGTCACAACTGAGGAGCACTGTGAAAGGTTAGGCTTCTGTTACCACGTGACAAGACCTTATGGGTGGAGTTTATATCTAGCTCACCCTCGCTAGACGCTGGACAATAATTTACACCCAGTAACAACACAGAGTTTATTCTATGTAAAAAAGAGCAACAAAACATTTTTTTTTTGTAACAAAGACGTTATTGTTATTCACCTCTAGAGGGAGCTAAACGACTGCAATGATTCAGCTCCAAAAGCATGTTGTTTGTAGTTGACCTAACCTAAATGGTGGTGCTTATTTGAAAATGTAAACATGCAAAAAGTTTTATAGAATATACAGTTTGTACAGTATAAAAGTCACCCACAAATATAAACCTAACTGAATTTGTTCCTGTATGTTTTGATAGCGAGGTCCTGTATAAAAAGGTTTTACTTTGGGTCTTGGCTTAACCTCCTCCTCGTATACTACATGGCATGGGTTCTACTTTCTTTAAACTGTAATTCAAATTTAAATGTTTAAAACAGTACAGACACCAATGTATTTATTTTCAATGTATTTATTATATTAAAAATTGCAAGTTGCAAATTGAGCATACTTTAAAACAAAACATCTCAGATTAGGAGCAAAGCAGACTATACTTCACTCTCCTTTCCATCAAAAACAGAAAGGCTAAACCATGAAGGGATGCAGTATCAGGCTACATTCAAGACTGAAGAGTAGCTTAAAGTAGCTTTCTGAAAAATAAAATTCTGAAAATAAGTACTAAATGAACAATAAGTGTACCTGAATGGACACAATGTATTTGTTTTGATGGAATCATTTAGTTAAGTTAAACTTTTTGTAGGCTATAGAAATTGAACATACATTAATAAATCTCTTATAAATGAAAACAAACATTCATTCAAAACATCAAACAGAACCATTTTAACAGTGCAACATATTTTACAAAACCTACAAAGTAGTTTAATTTCAACTCACGCAAAACATTGAAACCCATCTTTAGATTGACATGTGGTTATGATTATTGTTAGTCACACATGTATCAAAAATGATTTTCAAGCCTCATCTGGCAAGACATCAACAAGTCTGAATATTCTTGAGGGGTCAAAAAGATACCAATTACAGATCAGACCCTGCAGCATTTCAGAGGGACAAATATAACAGTGTGGGAAGAATAATTCCAGAAAGTCTTCTTTGAAATGTGAATAGGACAAAAAAAAAAAAAAAAAAAAGTGAAGTTTGTGTCCTTTTGAACTCCTTTTGGTTTGGTTTTAAAATAACAAAAACACAACAAACTTTATTCCAAATTATTCAATTCATGTTCAAATCATTTGGAATCTCATTAACAACTGAATGGCTTGAAGCAAACACTACTTAATCTGATATCAACATTTTGTTCGTCAATACATTTTGTTTCAACAGATTGAGCACATAGTTGCACCCCCTCTTCACAAATCAATGGTTTAAAAATAGAAAATGGTTAAGGAATATTTGGGTGCAACAGTGAAACCATTTTTCTTAAAGGTATAGTTTACAAAAAAAAAATGTAATTATGTCATCATTTACCCTCATGTCAAGGGGTCCAAACAACTTTCAACTACTTTTTATGTTCCACAGAATAAATAAAGTAATATAGGTTGTCTGGAGTGACATTAAGGTGAGTAAATGATGACCATACTTATTTTTGATTGAACTATCCCTTTATATCTTGATCATGTTTCAATCATTTCTACATGCCAGATGTGTTACTTTGTCAAGAAAACTTTAACAAATAAACAAAGGTTCAAGAAAATTCATTCACTAGAGTGAATATTGGAACCTAACATCTGACAAGTCCTCTTTTTGTGCATTTGCCTCAAAAGTTAACAGCATGGGCATTCACAGCACAGAAAATGTCAATTGCAAGGTAAAACACTTAAAACACTGATTCACACAATGCAACCATTTCCTTTACTTTTTCTATAGTCAGTAAGGGCTAACGGTTAAGCAGATGGTAGTCGTACACATTTACTGACTAAGATTTGATTTTAGAATATCTATATCAGGGATAGTTTACTACTATACATGGCTATTGGGTGTTTTTGAGCAGCAAGGACCATGCAGTGTACACATTACAGGTCTGTCCCATCATATAGTATTATATACAAAACATGCACAAGTCAAATGAGGTCACTGTAACATATGCATTACTTTTCTAGGCCACATAAAAAGATGATGTTAGCAGGGCAAGACTATTTTGTTGCCAAGACTTGCATTGCAATGCACATTATTACCTTTAGTTTGTACATCATCAAATCCAAATTACAGGTTGCTGCAAAAGCATTAATACATTTTCACTGCTGAAAATTTTTATTACAGTTCAAAATAGTTTGTTTAATAGTAATGGACACCAACTCATTACAGAAAGGTGGAAGAGACTGTAACTAAAGTATAAAATTTTCAGTTTGATTGAGCTAGATAAATATGGTAATTTTGTATCAATGCAAACGTTCAGTTCTCATATTAAATTACTGTATTACTCAAATGAGAATTTCTTTTTAAGGAATTCCAGGTAGACTCTTTTAACACTTACTCAAATCCAGTAGTTGTGACTAACTTTGTAATAAATGTCAGTTGTTCTGGGTTCTTCCAATCTACAATCGTTAATGGCACCACAATGCACAATGCATATGATGCAGACTGTGTGGAAAACAGCTGGTGAAAACAATTAACAGAAATGCTCATGGAAAGTAACAGCAACAAAAATGATCTGAATTATATCTACACTGTAACATGGGCAAATAATAAAAATAATGATAATAAAGACCCATGCATACAGGCATAATAATCTAAAAGATTTTAATAATTCTTACGAATTCTATGCACTGTGTTGTACAAAGTTTTATTATTGGTTTAATGGCAATTTGTTTTGGCCTGTGCAGAAAATTACAATAAATGATAACATAAGCTTTGATACTGGACTCATTCTTTATATCTGGAACATCCATTCATGCCAGCAGTCCTGGATACAATTTATTTCAATTTAAAAAAAAAAAAAAAAAAAGAAAAAAAAAGAGAGAATTTTGAAAACATTGCCTTTTGGGCTCCTCAATTCCGCTCCACTTTAGGTCTGAACATTTCTTCCCGATTCCCAATCACACCCCATTAGCAAAAGTAGCAGTGATTTCCTGACTTATGCTCTCTTTGACCTCTAGGGGCAGTGAATCAAAAAGGTGGTCCTCCACAATGAGACCATTGCGGCGCAAGAGTCGGCACTGGCCAAGCTGTGCGGGTAGGCGATCCAGGCAGTTCCCCTTCAGCTCAAGATGAGTCAGCTGCAGCAACTGTCCGATTTTCTCTGGTAGCGACGAGATGCAGTTGTGTCCAAGGGATAGGGTACGCAACTTTGTGCATTTGAACAGCTGCTTGGGCACCACTTCCACCTTGTTTCCAGTGATGGCAAAGTGCTGTAGATTTTGGAGAAACCCCACCTCTGGAGGAATCACTACGATGGAGTTGTTACTAACATCCAGGTATCTCAGTTTGAGAAGATTGAATAGAGTGGTAGGCAAGGTCTCAAGTTTGTTATGTGACAGATAGAGGAACTCTAGGTTTTTTACGTGACTAATGGACAATGGAATGGAAATTATTTTATTGTGCCACAGTTTGAGGCAGTTAAGCCTTTTGAGGTGCTGGAAGCTGATGACCTCTTCAATGGTACGGATATTGTTCGATTTCAAGTCTAACTCCTGCAGGTTGGTCAAACTAAAAATTGCATGCGGTATCCTCTCCAGCTCACAATTGTGCAGCTCCAGCTCAGCAAGATTCATCATCTTTTTCAAACTATTTAATACCAAGAGTTTAGTACCATCGTTGTGAACCACAAGTTTGATCAGGTGTGGTGATAAGTCCGTAATGTTAGTTGGGATCTTGGTGAGGTTGCTCTTCAGATGTAGGATCTTTAGATTCCTCAAGTCCCTGAGGGAATCTAATCCTATCATTTTGTTGTTCTCGGAGTTCAAGTTTCCCACCAAGTAGAGCTCTCTCAGGTTCTTCAGCATGTAAACCCAAGTGGGAATTTCTGCTACATCCGTAAACTTGACGTGAAGGCACCGGAGGTGATCGCGGAGGAAACTGAACGCAGTCTGTTCGACTTTGGCGGGGCAGTGGTAAAAGTGCAGCTCGTGAAGATTGATCATCTGGGAAATTTTTGCTGTGATACGTGCCTCTGGGATGAGTTCTAATTTCAGGACCTCTAAATCAGTCAGCTCAAAGACAACATCAGGAACACCTGAGAGCATGAAAAGATGCAGCTCAAGCTTATCCTGTGCATTACGAGTCACGTGTTGCCGTAGTTTCTCAAAGGTCCACTCGTGGTTTAAGCTTATTTCCCGCAGTTTGTTCTCACTTACCTCTGAGAGAAAGACACCAAAACGTTTCGAGTACAACTGGTCATATTGGTCCACCATGTGGAGGAGGAAAGCAAAGTCATTCTTCACATCTGGGATATCACTAAAACTGCTTTCTTCTCGGACTTTTTCGAAGGAATACTCCTTAAGAGGCCGTCTGAACAGCCAAAAAAGAGTGTAAATGCAAACCAAGCCATAAACAAAAATGAGGACAATGTAGCTAACGAGAAGCTTTTTCAACATGAAAGCCATGTTGTGGGTGCACTTAAATTTGGAGTATCCAGTTAAATGCTTAATGTCTGGCTCACAATCATGGTCGAATTTAATGGAGGTAACAAAGGTCATGGTGTAACACAGAATCAGAATGAATTTGACAGTTTTAATTATAGTCTGAGCAACATAAAGTTTGTAGATCAAGTCACTATCTTCGACATGTGTGCGGAATTTTCTCACTTTCTCAAAAAGTGCTTTAGCTTGCTCTCCATCTTTCTTATCAAGTATAGTCATGCTTGGAACTTCGATGACAGGCTTCTCTGTCGAAAACTTAATGCTAGATTTTACAAGCATGGGTGTGGACTGATTTGGACTTCCCTCTTCACTGCTGGTTGAAAAATGCTTTGGTAATGTGGAGGCTCCAATCAATCTCTGCTTATTCTCTTCTGAGTCTTCACAGGCTGTCTCAGACAATGCCTTGGTTGTCCAAGGGGACTCAAAACACTTCCCCAAAATAGACACAAAGTGCTCAATTTTGGAACTGGTCTTTGGATACTTGAACCAAAAGTTACTGCTTACCATAAGAACAATAGTGTGAATGAGAGCTAGATATGGAAAGTACTTTGAATACCATGGGAGTGCAACATGGTAGCACATCTGATTAACAAATACATACTGCTGAAAATCCAGATTTGTTCGTAAACCCGTAGGCTGAGGTTGCCTGACAGCAGACGACTGTGGGAAGTGTTGGACAACACTGTCGGTTTGTTCTTTGCTTGCGATAGGTGCAGCTGCTAATGTCACATGGCCTCCTCCAGTCCCTGAGCCAAGAGCTTTCTCTGATGGCCTTTCTGCGGGCACAGGGGTTCGGTCCTCCAGCGATTCCAGAACAGGAAGACAAACCACCTGATCTTTGGTTAACTGCATGGTCCCGGCAAATATGGCCAGCATAAGCATGACCACACCCAGGTAATCCATAAAGACGTCCCACCATGGTTTCAGTATCCGATAAGTTGGCTGGATGTCATTTAGAGAGGCAACTTCTGTGAGGGTAAACATTCCTACATGAAAACATAAAAACAAGTATTTAGTAAATAGTATTATCAATGACAAATAAGAGTGTCCATGAAAATGACAAATCCTTTCCAGGAATGGTAAATCTTTAAAAAATCTAGTTGGGAAAACATGAAATCAGCATTTTAAAAAATCTGTGTATTAATGCTGATTTCTTATGGCGTAGAATGTGGCTTTGAATAGGCTACCTTGAATGTGAGTTTACCCATATAAAACATAAAAAAAAAAAAAAATGTAAGGCTACAATGACTTGAGTAAACAAATCAATTGTCTTCCATGTTACGCTCATTTCTATGTGAAAAACAGGCTTGACACAACATAAGTCTCAATCTCAAATTCCATTAAATCAATCTACAAATATAAGGAGTGGCCTAATACACCACTAAAGATAACAAATGGTCCCATCGCTTGGGGAGACACCCTAGTGTCTCTTCCCTGTATCACTTTCCTCAGCACAGAGCTTGATCAGTGCTGAGGCACTAAAGCACAGCATTAGACATCCTTATTAGATTATCAGCCTTAGTGGGTCCATAGTACTGTACTGCATCAAGACAATAGTACTGCAGTGGTGAGTCTTGCCAAAGACAATATTGTCTTTAATATCAAGTTGCAAGACTGCTCTAACATGCATGCATTTTGCAGGGGTAATATTGACGAGTGGAGCTCGACTTTCACATTGCTAAGACATAATCATAAACATCCAATAGGCAAAAGTGAAATGACCTTCTCACTGTCATAAACAATTGACTGAATGTCATAATGATTAATTAACTTTTGTTCACTTGGCTAATCAAGCTGTTATTTATATAAATTATAAATGTCAATGTTTTGAGTGAGATGAATTCATTGCTGGACGATTGAGTTATTTTCATTGAAACAGTGTTATCAGATTACATGTAGTATTACTTAAAACTTTTAATTTTTCTACCATGAGGCATAAGCACCTAATTTACAGCCTCTATGGTCTACTAATAAAACAAAGTCTAGACTTACTTCACAAGACAATCACATTCCTTCCATTCATCACACCAACTATTCAAGTCACAAGCACTTTGTTCTTGTGCTTTGCCTGTCCTGCAGATCTTTCGTTCAGGCTTTACACGGGCTTTGATGTCAACATGTCAACTGTAAGGAAGATGTAAGAATTTAAGAAGGGTAAGAAAAACTGTTTCAGTTCAAAATACATTATATTTTGAATTTCAGTCATTTAAAGGACAAGTTTGGTATTTTACACTTAAAGCCCTGTTTTAAGATGCACATGCAGCTGGCCCAAGAATTTTCGGTTTCTGTGGTTGCCTGTGGTTGATTTGCCTCTAATTAGTCTCTAATTTAGTGCAATTACACAATAGCTTATTTAGTCAAGTCAGATTGCTGTAAACAACAATTATTACTTTCGTTCGTGTGTTGCCTTGGGTTAAAAAAATAACACACACGATTTGTTAAAAGACGCAACATAATTATGTACTGATGCATATATTACATGATAGCAAAGAGATACAGTGCATTCAAATCAAAAAACCCAAATTCTGGCTGGATATTCCAACATGTTGATCTATTTTGGCAGATTTGTCATTTTACAAGTGTGAACATCTGTAGAGTCAATCCTTATAAGTCTATCAAATAAAGGAGAAATTGAGATCACAGCCACCAGCGAGACAATGAAAAATATTGAGTCACCTAATAAATTTAATCCTCAAAGACTGACAAACTAAGGCTAAACAAGACTTCAGAGAACATCTGAGAATTGCTTTTCCCACTGCTTACCCAAAATAAGTTGCTATACACCAGTCCCCAAGATCTACAGCTGGAAGGTTACACACACTAACTCTATGAGCTGAGAAGTTAAAAAGGCTTTTTTTTTTTTTTTAATTGTCTACAATAGGTCTTTTCTGTTCCACATCAGAAATGCAGTAATATACTATATATAAGACTATTATGATTATATATCAGACTATTGTAACTGTACTTGCACTAAGACAGGAAACGTAATAGCCTTTTCACTGGTACAGATCCAACAAGTAATTGTCAATTTCCTCAACTGCTCTCATCATTCAACATGCTCTACAACACAGCAGTGAACTTTACACACTCTAACCTTAACCACAACAATTAAATAGAAATGACTTATAAGTTGACTTCCCAAAAACTTAAGGCTAAAGGCTCTGTGGCACCTACAAAACAGCTGTGATAATATTAACCATTATTCAGAGTTCAGGATGAGACGATCTGTTTGTCCAAACAATGATATCTTGGAGTGTTTAGTAAACCTGTTTGGAACCGTTTACCATGTTATTTGGTGCTGATAGAGGCACAGAAATTGCTCACTTCAGTTTTTAAGACAATTTAAGGTAAACAAATGCTTTCATCTGAAAATGAATGAATTGTTTTCTAAAACAAAGTATGCCAAAATAACAATTATTTTACTTAGTTGAAAATAGTCTAAATAATTCCTTATTTCAAAGCAGTCGTTGAAAATATAACTTTATTCTTTATTACTATCCAATCAGTATGGATCATTTTGGATGAGCCAATAGATTTGGACTAATAAATCATATGCATTATGAATTGTGGTCGTTCACAAATTTTTCCCAGTCTATGGAGATAAGAAGCCTCAGTTTTTAACCTCACCTCGGTAACACAACCTAATCCACCAAAAACACAATTACCATCATGGCTAGCCTTATTTAACCTCCGTCTGAGCTTTTACCCCGTAACTAGGTCATGGCTGCCGCTGTTATTTTCATTTGCTGTGTCTCACAGAAATTTGAAATGACAATGCTACAAACCAATCGTGTCTTTTCATGTTATTCTGCACATTTCAGTGTTGGAGTAACCATTTATGACCATATAGCATATATACACACACACACACACACACACACACACATAATGTTACAGGTTGCTGTAGTTCAGTGAGTTCAAATAAAGTGTAGTGTAGCTTATGTATTTTACACTAAATATGACCAACACCAAAAAGGCTTCTGTGGCAATTAAAAAATGCAAACATAGTTTGTATGCATATGTGTAGAAAAAAAATGGATGAAAGGCTGTAAGAAGTCGAAATCAATTAATCTAGAATAGAATCAAGTTTATTAAAAAATTATGAATATATTCTGCTCATAAATATGGCAATTTGATATCAACAAATAGGCTATATGTCTCTTAACTTTTTCTCCTAACTTTTTTTTTTTTTTTTAATTAACACTGACTTGACAACATTTGCAGAAAGCACAACTGTAGTCCAGCTGGATAACCTTTTGGCAAATTGGCAAAAATAAGTGTGCAATATAATAAAACAAACTTCTTACAAGAGACCTGAAATCCATATAATGTAATATTAGCTTGTGCAGTTACTGTACAATTTGTTCGGTCTGATCCAAAAGTGGCCAAAACATCTTGCTTTATGTGCTCTGAACTACTCTGACAACCTCCACTAACACAACCTTAAGACAAGATACTCGACTAATTGTAATATTTCAGAAATGTATGCTTAGCATAACGTTTATACTTACTGTCTCATATAAACGTCATCAAACTTCACCCATCACCACTTTAATTCCTGAGAATCTGAAACACATTTCATCCACTTGTCCTTGCAGTAATGGGGACTGTCCGTTCGCATGGGAGACGTCACGCCATTGTGTTTCTATGCCGGGTCACGATATTTAAACGACAAAGGCTTTATATTCACGTAAACTGCGAGCACCACGCGATTTACAGGGACGGGATGGAAATATTCCCTATGAACGCAATCCGGTGTCCTGTCACGTCTTCGTGATTCTGTGCAGATTAACGCCGCTTAGGCAGGAAACCATTGGAGGTCTGATGATACTGTTGTGTAAAAGCGGAAAAAGTATCGGTACAAAAGGACAATTTACTAATCATTTACCCGAGAGGGATTAATGAACATGTAAGGGTCCCCGCTCATCTCATTATTATGGTACAGTACATTCAGTGCCGCGCGCACAGCAGCAGAATCAACCAGTCTGCACCAGTTCTCCACACTGCATATCCGTCACATTTAAACCCCACACAAACACACATTCACAGGATGATACATACCTCAAACCAAAGCTGTCATTTTAAAAACACGCCAAACCTTGTACTATGTCCATGCGTGCGATATGAATGAGAAGAAATGTCTGTAATAAACACATATGCGCTGTCAAATAGAAGAAGTGTGTGGGGGCGGAGCTAAAGTTTACGGGAGGGTTTACGCGCGAAACACCTGACCTGTTTTCTGAAGTTACTAAGCAACCAAAGCCACAAGAACAGTGTTACAATATTTAATCAATTTAATTCAATTCTTTTGAATTATAGCCTGTTATGTAAATGGGGCATAATTGTATTTTTCGTGTATTTTCTATAGGTTATATATATATATATATATATATATATATATATGAAGAGTTCAGATGCAAATGCCTCTAAGTGCCATTTGAAATTTTCTTCTAGAATGATCATTTTTATCAAGCTTGTATATTTAAGTTCAGTAATTTCACTTAAATGGCAATGATAATTACCTATTAATTGTTATTTAAGTGAAATTACTGAACTTAAATATACAAGTTTGATAAAAATCATCATTAAAGAAGAAAATGTCAAATGGCATTTAGAGGCTTTTGCATCTGAACTCTTCATATATATATATATATATATATATATATATATACTGTGTGTGTGTGTGTGTGTGTGTGTGTGTGTGTGTGTGTGTGTGTGTGTGTGTGTGTGTGTGTGTGTCAAAATTGGTAAGAAGGCTATACATTTATTCTAAATTAAGCTGTCGCTCAAAAAGTGCTTATATAATTTTCATTTTTTGTGGGTTTTTCTTTTTTTGTGGCAGATTCAAAACTTTTACATTTTATTATTATTATTTTTATTATTAAAATTATCATCAGAGATTATTAAAGGTGGCTGAACATAATATTTATAGTACATCAGCTACATTTAAAACTCTGTATACTTTTTAAGTTTGTCACCTTAGATGCAGGTAAACACATGCCTTTGCATGCATTCTGTGTTGTTTATATGTAAATGAAATCCTTTATGTTTTCCGAACGTTCCATACAGTTGCAAATAAGATTAAAGAGACGTTGCCTCCCCCACTCCAGCCAGGTCCTGCTGAGATGTTGTATTTAATTTCCACATGAACCTTTGGTGTGGGTCATATTTTGCGTTAAAATGCAGGTGGTTGTGAATGTTTTGTGGGTGACAATGTGAATCCCACATTCCAATTTGTGCTGCAGGCAGATTCTGGGTATGAGGACATTTCTTGGCACTCAAGATCTTGCCTTTTCACCTATAATGGGTGGGTCGGTCTAAAGATGATACTGTGAAAGACTGACTTGGCTTTAGCTTTGATGACTCGTCTTTAAATGACAATTTAATGCCCAGTTTCACAGACAAGGCTTAAGCCTATAGTCTCAGACTAAAATGCATGTTTGAGCTGTTCTAACTGAAAGCAACTTGGACTAACATATCTTAAAATATGTCAGTGCCATTGTTTTGTCTCAAGATGCACACCACCAGTAATGTTTTTTAAGCTACTTTAATGTCCTAATTTAACTAAGTGCCTAGTCCTGGCTTAGTCTAAAACCTGTCTGTGAAAGACTGTGAAACAGCAATTAAGATTTTAGTAATGTTTAGAGATTTTGAATCTATACCTATGTATTTTGCATTAAAATATTTTATGTAAATAGCCTATTTATTTTGCAAATCAGTTTCTCAAATCACAAATTTGCAAATGTCCTTTTGCTTCTATTCACATCTCCACTTTGACAGCTGCTGCACCTTGCCTTTTCATGGTTGAACGGAGAGCCATCTACTCTTTAGGGTAAATTTTCAAGATCACACTATCCAAGGTCATCAGCTTGTCAAGTTTATAAAGGCTTGAATTCCGCTGCAGAACTTTCTCACTCCTTAATGCAATGCGAACCACAGGCCTGCAAAAAATTGATGAACTTGCTCATTGCTATTGCAACATGCTCTATTTTGCATTAAAAACTTGCTAAAATAGTTGTAGTTAATACTAATAATAATAATTGATTCAATCCCAGCAGTATCGACGTGGTCCCCTTAGGGGTCGCGACCCCCTGGTTGAGATCTTACTATATTTGGGCTGCATCTAAAATCACATACTTCCCTACTAGGTGAAAAGTAGGTGAAAAACAGTATGTGACAAAAGTTGTATGTTCGAAAAACCCGGATGACCTATTTCTGTTTGGGCGATTCTGAATTGTGCATACGATGGACACTTTACCATCCCATGAGGCCACAGGAGAGATTTGTGAATGGCAGTGAAGCGACGCAACAGACGCTGGTAGGTCATGTGATAAGGGCTACATGAAGACTATACGTCCAGATTACATTCACATGACACACATTCATTCAATATAGAACCTACTTTTTTAGTGGTCGTGAAGTAATTAACCTATTCAAAATAAGCACCTACTCCGAGTTTGGACGCAGCCTTGGTTCATGGAATCCTTCAAGGCAAGAGTTAAACATCCCCATCTTGTTGGAAAAATAGTGTTGTACTCTCTATTTTAGGGTGCAAGCACTTAGCCGCCTGCTGATCTTTTCATGGTGTTGACTTTCAGGATGGTAATTATACAAGATGTGTTCTAAATAAAGGAATGCGCTGTTCACTTTATTCATAGTTTGAAGACATGCCACAAAAAACTGAAAGCTGTAACAATATTAGTATCCTTATAGCCCTCTGCTGATGCATAAAGAACTTGGCCTAATTTGGAGAACAAATTGTAGAGAAAATATAGATTAGTTTGTTTTTACCTTAAAATGTATGATAATTTGTATTAAATAACCACATGCAAGGCAGAGGTAATGCCTTTGAAAGTGGCTGAAGCTATAGTATGTTCCCTCTCTCCCAGGCCATGATCCAGCTATCAATAGCCATATCCATCACCGCTGATCATGTGACTGAAACATGAGATATGATGGGAGACAACACCCACCTACAAAATTATTCTGAAGGCCTAATGTTACACTGTTCGTGGGATTATTGAAATTATGTACTAGCATGTAATTTTCATTGTTTAAACAGATAAGACCCAGGCTTATTCTAATAATGTCATCCTCATCAAACTGCCCTCTCTGCAAAAATGTAAATTCTGAAATTGCCATTTTGTTTGCAATTGCATTTTTTTAATGCCAGCAACATTTCAGACTTTCCGGTGTGTGTATGCATTTGAGGTCAGCAAATTATCCTTACACATTGAACAGACTAAATTGCATTTACTGCACAATACTGCCACCTGGGTGACAACTCTCCCTTGAGAATTACAAAACATTAACTGAACTCAACGCAATGGACAAGAAAATGCATTTTATTTATGCAGTTTTACACATTAAAAACACTTTGGTAGAATGCAAATTATACTAAAACAGGAAAATAAGGCATATGGTAAGCACTGCATTATGTCAAGAAACAACATCCTTCATTTTATCATTCACGTCATTATAACCTTTAACATTCAGACACAAGACCAAAACAGCAACTGACCTTCCTAACCATAGACAGGTCTACTGTTAAAAAAAATAAATAAAATAACAAAATATTACGCATGCTCCAAACTATTTATGTAGATAATATTACTGAAATACAACATGAAAACACACAAAAAGGCCATGTAACTCAAGTATTCAGCCTTAACTTCTCAAAGCGCCTTAAGATGTATGAATTCCAAGACACTGGTAATACACATAAAACACTGATTCATTACCACTTTATGATGGCAATGTAACTGGCAGTCAGTAGAAAAAGGCCACATGCTGATCTCAATAGATCAGACGAGTCACCTCTCTCGAGGCAATATCAGATCAAATACAATGTAATTGCCATGTACATGACCTAAAGACACTCATAAACTATCTCCTCCAAGTATCTGAGAGAAAATACTAAGGAAACTAAAGTCTACCTGATTTGTTGGTGCATCTTGAGAGATCTTTGACTATTTATTTATTTTTGCATAAAGGACATAATAAAAGAATACATTTCTTAAAATGCATTTGCATATAATCTTAGAGCTTTGTTTCTGACAAATGTTTTCCTTAAGTTTGCATGAGATTTACAATTACAGCATACAATACAAGATTGACAAATACTGTTGACTAATATGATTAAAATATTAGATTACATTGTTGGTTTATGAGTAAAATGTTTGTATAAAAGGCCAAGTTAAGGTAATAGAAACCCCTTCTGCATGATTCTGTCTTGCACTGGAGAAGTCAAATCGTTAAACTAAGAAAACAGCAGTATACACAAGCCTTTAAAAAAACTATATGAGAGTTGAAGCTGGTATCACTAGTTTATAAGATGTTATAATGTAATGCGGTTCTCTTCATCTACTTAGGATCCACTACCAACTCTAAACCTTAAAACAGCGATGCAAGGAAAAACTTGTCAAGTCTACCTGAGAAACAAATCCACAAGGATCCTGCTCTCCAAAAGCTTTATAAGAGTAAATATGCTGAAAGGAAAAAATAAAACACTACTAGTATCAATGATTACATGTAACCGTATATTTTCCTATCATATATACTTGAAATCATTGCAAAGTCCATACACATTAAAACGTAAAATGAAAGGAATGGTAAAGTTTCCAGTGCAAATTCTAATATCGCCATTTCCAGTGCAAAACATGTTGTACAGTAATTGACCTGTAAAAGCTTAATGGATTATGAAAGCAAATGTCAGTCATAAGCAGTGAAAGCATACAATGGAATTGCATGCCACTGTCTGTAAATGAATCCCTGTCGTAAGTTGTCTTTTATGACTTACAGAATTAAAAACAAAACAAAAAAAATATTACCTTAGAAAATTAAGATAAAGAGTTTTTAAATTTGTTTTACATTTTCATAATATACAATATAAGGCAATAAAAGGTGTTCATCACTAGATATTTCGATGTTTTTTGTTTTGCATAAAAATACCATTAAAGGGTTAGTTCACCCAAAAATGAAAATTAAGTCATTAATTACTCACCCCCATGCTGTTCCAACCCCGT